TATAGTAAATTTATATAGTAATTTGAGTCACTTTTTACTATGATCATTCTCTGGTTGACTGGTAGATCACCAATTAATAGATTTAAAATAGTTAATTGCATTTTAAATACTATACATTATTAAATCAGAAATATTAGACTAAAACTAAAAAATTATTATTATAATAAAACCTTTCTAAAATATCTCTCCTCTAAATATGCAATTTCTCTTTAAATGAAACCAAGCCTGACTCAAATATATATTTAATCTACATAAATATGCCTTTTTTATTGTTCTTTAAATGCATGTATATAAAAGTTTAAACCTTATATTATGCATTTAAAAGGTTTGTTTGGCTGTAATAAATTCATTAAATAAAACTAGCAATGATCTTGACTAAAAACTGTAAAACAATAATAATTAATGACTAGGAAGCCCAGTAGTTTTGAAACCTGCATAAAAATACATTTTACTAAAATTATTATAAACAAATAAATAAACAAAAGAAATTTTAATAAACTTATCTGAGAAAAGTTAAAGTTTCAGCATCATTTCTGTAGAAGAGAGTGAAGTAAATCATAAAAAAATCAATGTATTTATATTTGTATTCAACTTACTATTTTCAATTAGCTCTTCAATTTTTTATGTTTGAAACTATTGAATTAGACAAAAAAAAATTGTGAATTTTTTTTTGTTATAAATTATAAAAATGCATATATGCAAAAGTTATTTTTCCATATGCTAGTAATTTTTTAATTATAGTAATTTTAAGATCAATTAAATTTGTAATAACCAATTTGTGCTGTATTGGCAGTCATAAAGTCTAAAAATATATTAAAGTAAAGTTAATTGAAATAATCATATTAGAAAATATAAAAAAACAAGACATAATATAAAAATAATTTTTATCAAAAAATAATTAATCATGTCACAATTGAAACCACAGATTCCAGAAATTGGTAGTAAATTTCTAATAGTAGAGCAATTCAAAAAAGCCGCTCAACAATATGCTAAGGCAATGGGTTTTGCTTTTAGTGTGTTATCATCAAAATTGTTATATGAAAGAAAAGACAATCATGTTCTTTTGTTACTTTACAATATGTAATAGGAGATAAATACAGAAATAACTACAAAATTACTGAAGAAACTCAAAAAAGAAAGAAATTTACCAAACGTCAAAACTGCTCTGTTAGCTTAAGAGCAGTTTTAAATGAAAATGTTGGGGTTTGGATAGTAACCTCATATAAAAGTCAGCATGATCACAAACTCCTTTCTTTATTAAAAGTTTACTGCTTTCAACAATATCAAGTTCTTAACACAAAACAAAAAGAACTAGTTTATCTTATGCTTAGAAGTGGAATATCAACTCAATCTATTGCTAATACAGTGCACTGGAAAAATGGAGTTGTATACACAAAGGATATCATTAATGAATATGATCAAATTAAAAATACATTAAATAAAGGCTCAAATAATAATACCACTATAAGGCTTCTAAAAATGTTGAAAGAATGTCAGTATATAATTTGGCATCTATTATCAAAAGATAAGTCTATACAAAACTTATTCTTTACACATATTGAGGCAGCATGTCAGGTGACCATGTGTCCAGAAGTACTTATAGTAGATGCAATCTATAAGACAAACTTATATAAACTTCCTCTTATCAATATAGTTGGTGTTAGCAATATCAGCAACACTAAAGCACTCAATACTTATTAAATCGCGATAGCTTGGGTTGCAAATAAACAAGAACACACATATACATGCTTTTAAATACTCTAAAAGAGACAATATATGATGCTTTTTCTTGCTCTCCAGAAGTATTTGTTTCAGACAAAGATTTGGTACTTCAAAAAGCAACAAATAATGTTTTTCCAATAGCTAAAAAATGTTTTGCATTTGGCACATGCTAGCTCAAAACTTATAAACCACGTGCAGGAAAGTTTTTGATTCAGATAAAGATTATGATAAATTTTTGCTATCTGTTCAAACAATTGCTTATTCTGAAAAGATAAGTGAAGTTGAAAAGGCATTTGATGAGATGAAACAAGCAATAACTAAGAGTAAAAATCCTATCTATATTCAAAGTTACTTGGAAAAATGGAAAAAGGATGCAAAGTATTGGATATACATATATACAAAAAATTATCTACATATGGATGTACAATCAATACAACAAGCAAAGGAAATCATAGTGCATTAAAAAAAGCAATAAAGGCTGCAAGTGGTTTAGAGCAAGTTTTTTCACATATTAATCGTGCCTTTTGTCAACACAAACTACAAACAAATGATGCTTTAGGATTAAATTTTATTTCTGCAGATTCATTCATTCTTAATAATAAAAGATTTGAACAGCTACTTGGAAAAATTTCTAAGTAAGCAATTGACAAAATAAAAAGAAAGCTATGTGAGATTAAGAAAAATAGTAATAATAAAGAAAATAGCCATTGTGAATGTGAATGTAGTTTAAGATTAAATTTTAAATTACTATGCCATCATATAATTTTATATACAGGACCTATTCCACTTTTAATTGTACATCCTCACTAGTATATAAATAATAATTCAATACCTTTATTGTCTTTTTCATCTCTATCAATTGATATGTTTGTGAGTAAGGCTTTATACAAACTTGAAGAGAAATATGAAAGCCTAAGTGATTGTGAATCAAAGGCAATATTTTTGCATAAAATAGAAGCTCTAGCTGCTGAAGAAAATATAATTCCAAAGGCACCATTACGTGTTGTATCTAGTGTTCTGCAGAAAAAGATCCGAACGGATCTGGTATTTTTAATGGGTATAAATTTAGTATTTCACAAAGGATACCAGAACTGAAACTGTACGTATAGTTAATATAGAAAGCACACTACTGACATTAAGCTCTATTTGTCTGTCACATGCTTCTATTGCCAGTAGCAGGTCTTCCAAAACTGTCTATTCGGACCCAGATCCAGATCCGGATCTGGTTTATGCAGCAAGTTTGAAAGACTGCTATTTGCTACAGGTACATGTGAGAGACAAGTAGTGCCTGTTGCCGGTAGTATGTTTTTCATATTAATTATATATACAGTTTTAGTTCGAGTATCCTTTGTAAAATGCTACTTTAATACTCATTAAAAACTCCGGATCCATTCAGATCTTTTTTGCAGAAAGCTAGTTGTATCTAAAGATTAACCAACTTCTACCAAATGTGATCTTCTTTTAAGTGAGTAACAGAATAAAATTTCTGCAATAAAAGTTAAACCTACTATAACAAAAGTTAAAGCTGCTGAAATAAAAAAAAAACTGCTGCAACAAAAGATAAAAATACTAAAATACCAATACCAAAACTTATAAAAAATCTACAAAAATCACAACAGTTTCTATATCATGACCAAATACCTATTTACATATATGAATATATAAAAGAGATAATTAATGTGAATACAGATAGTAATTGTGGATATAGGATACTAGCATTAAGTTTGGAAAGGAATGAAAGTGAATGGCCTGAAATTAAAAAAGAATTAAAAAAAAAATTAAAGAAAGTGAGCAATTTTACTAAGCATTGTTTTTAGCTAATGATAACTATAAAACAATTAAAAAAGAAATTTCTTGGTCAAATGGTCCTTGTACTTTTGAATACTGAATGAAAATACCACAAATGGGAGACGTAATAGCAAACACTTACCAAAGACTATTATATTTTTTTCACTACAAGTAAACCTTATATTTTTTTCACATCACCAACTATTAAATCGAAATGAAGCTCTTGCAATCGCTTTTGTTAATAATAATCATTATGTGGCTATAACTTTGAAGACTGGTGCCTCTGTACCCCAATTGTTAATCAATGGTCACAATTTGCAACTTCAGTATTATTATGATGAAAGCTATTGATTCAATATCATATTGATAAGTTTCTTTTATTAAGTAATTAAACTATAAAAAAGTTTAAAACAAAAATATGAATAATGATATATTAGTAAGTACTTAATAATTAAGCAAATATAAAAATACTTGAGGTGTGGTGACTTAGTGAAGTGGTCTAGTTGTCACCCTCACCAAACGTTATGGGAAAATTCCATGTTCAAATCCCAGAGACGGTGCTTTTGTAATATGGGAAAAGTCTGCGACGATCTTTACTAAGGTTGGCCCATGGAGGATCTGTCGAGACGGTGTTTGGGTGGCACCGTTGAGGTGATTCTGGAAGGCTGTAATCTGTGGGCTGTGCATAGCACGGGTCACAGGACTGGAGATCAAAGCCCATTTGGGAAGTCCCGAGTTGGAAGGTAGCAGTGATCTTCGATGGTACTATATGAAGGCTAAATTTGAACCGGGGCACGAGATTGGTGAACTAAGCGATCAGGTCCTTTAGTGGGGGACACACCAGCCGAACCGCCGGTTTAGACGCACCAGAGGAAAAGACCATATGCTCCGAAAGTATGAACCAAGGGGAGGGCATTCTTCAGGCACCTAAAGCCTGAGCAGACCAATTTGTTCGGGTTGCCGACTAGAAGTAAAGGAGGGACCAATAGAGAATCCAGGTAAAAAGACGGTTAGAATGTGAGTACCGGGGTTGTTATGAACCTTACAAGGGCAGGAGTACGTAATTGGCGACTAATTAGGAAGGTTGTGCTTGAAATACGGATTGGGTTACGGCAGCACCCAAAAGTTAGCTTGAGATACGAACCCGGTAGCAGCAGTACAACAGGTATTAGTTAGGGAGAAGTTATCGAACATACAGATAAGCGCATGTATAGGACATGTACCGCTCTGTTAGGTTTACTACAAGGATAAATGTCTTCTGTTGTTGGCTAAAGTCTTAGGGTCTTTAATGGTAAATTACTCTCCATATGGAGGTATATTAGGAGGAATCAT